GACGCTGCGCGGCGCCCGCAGGCTCCGGGCCGGGCGTTTCTGGGGGTCGAGGGCAGGATTGGTGCCACTTTGGGCTCTTTGTTTGCTCTAATCCCCCCCGCCGGGGCTGCTTCCCGGCCTCCGTGACCAGGGGACATCCAGGGAGGCCGGTGGGTGGCACTGCCCCTCGGGGCCAGTCACAGCGTTCCCGCGTGGCGGCCCTGCCTGCTCTGCTCTCCGGGCCCTTTTTGGGGACAGGGGAGCCCAAAAAGAGCCGGGGTCGCTTGAAGGTTGAGCTTGGGGAGGGGATTTCAGCGAAGCCGCTAATAGGCAGCGCTGGCCCGGCCGGGATTTGGAGCAAAGCTGCGCTGGGGAAGGGCTGCCGCGTGGGAGGGGGATTTCTCCTCTTTACCGGGTATTTACCACAGACCTCGAGGGATCCCGGCAAACGCAGCGGCGCCGGCAACCGGCTCTTCCCGTCCTAAAGGCTCCAATGCTCCCGAGGAGGAGGAGGAGGGGATGGGGCTGGCGGCTGGTTGGGCTCCCAGGAAACCTGTGGGAGCGGAATCCTCCCGCGGGAAGGGCCGGGATGCGCGGGCTGATCCCGCAGGCTGGGGACGCCTCGCGGTGACAACACCCCCCCTCCGCCAGCACCTGCTCCGGTGTCACCTGAGCCCTGCGCTCCGCAGGGAGCTCAGGTTACCTGGAGGCAGCAGGAACCCGCCCGCGTTCCCGGCCCTTTCTCCGGGAGCCGCTGGGGGAAGGGGCCGGATTGAGGACGAGGTGGGTGGCCCGGGGGGCTGGTGGCCGTTGCCATGGCAGCCGGCTGCTTATTTTTCAATCCTCGGCGCCCGCCAGGGATGGGCAGAGGCCGCCGGCGCCCGGGGCGGCTCCTCCTTTCCGCCCTTCCCGCCGAGCAGCTCGGATCTCCCCCCCGGGCTGCCCAGGGAGCCCCCACCTCGCTGCCCTCTCCCAGCTGGGGGCCCTTGGGATGGGATGCAAGCGACACGGGATGCGCCGGTGTCCCTAAAAACTTGCTCCCCTCCAGCCTTCCCCAGTGCCGCTGTCCCCAGCGCTGTCCCAGGGTGCCATCCTGGTGCAAGACACGGCCCTGGGGGGCCCTGGCTTGGCCACCACCGGCACCGGGGACACCCGAGTCCCTGTCCCACGCAGCCGCCGTCCCCTTTGTGCCCCTTTGAATGGGGGTTGCCAGGAGCCGGGAGATGCCGGTCAGGAGGGCAGAGGAGGAGGGGGCTGGGGCCGGCGCGGGGGATTAGGGGGAGGCTGGGGGTGTTTTTCCCCAGGGTGTCGGATTCTTCCAATAGGACCTTTGTTCAGGAGCTGCCGCTCCCGGTCGGCTCCCGCGCCGACAGATTGGGAGCCTCTCCGGCTCCGTCTGGCCAAGAGCAGCTGCAGCAACGGGATGGGGAAGGGCTCCTTTGTCCCACGGGGCGTTTTGCCATCGCTCCCATCTCCTGCGACCTCTTCCCAGCTCCTTGCAGCATCGGGGACCTGTTGCACGGCCCCAGCTGAGCTCCGAGTCGCAGGACACGCGAACGCAGACGGTGCCGGCCACCGTCACGCAGGGCCCCATGGCAGGACGGGGGGAAGCAGCGGGATGGGAGAGCGCTTGGAAGCTGGGGAGAGGGTGCAGAGGCTGGACACAACTCCAGACACTGATGGGAGGAGGGTTCGTAGGCACCAGATCCGCTCAGGGCTGCGAGGCCACAATTATACGGCCGTGTCCCTAAGCTGGTGCCCAAACCAGCTTGCCCGGGTGCTGCCGCGACTCCTTCCCAGCGTGGATTGACTTTGCTGGAAGCGCTTCGTGAAGACGCTGATTTAGGGGAACTCTGCGTCCCTGACCACAGCACCCTGAGGCCACAGGCGCGGGGTGTCACCAGCGCCAGCCGGTGTCACCGGCCTGGCATGGGGCTTGCCCAGGTGGATCCGCTCTGTGGGTGTGCAGCGATGTCTGGGGGTGCGTATTTGGGTCCGGGGGTGCATATTTGGGCCTGGGGTGCTGCGGCGGCAGGGGGGACGCTGCCCGTGCACCCCGACCTGGGTGCTGAGCCAATTGCCTGCTGCACTTCTGAGCCGATTATGGCTCTGATAATAGCCCGGCGGATTAGAGGGCTGCGTTCGCCGCTGCTTTGGGGCCTTATCCTCCTCCTCATCAAAGAGGCCGCGCGATGCAGGGCTCCGAGCGGGGCTCCGGGCGCTCATACCACGAGTGCCCGCGGCCGGAGGCGCCTTTGGGCCGTGCAGGGCAGGAATGGGACGGGATGGCCTCGCTTTCCCGTGGTTCCGAAGGGCCACAGGACTGGTGGGACCCTCAAAGAGAAAGGGCACCTGAGGGGACCATCCCTGGAAGGCGCCCAGAGAGATGGGCAGGGATTTTGCCATCAGGTCGGTAGCTCTCGTTGGCCCCGGGGGCAGTAGCACCGGGCACATCAGTAGCATCTGTAGCCAGGGAATGATGCGTGTGGGGCCCGAGGGAGCGGTGGCACTCGTGTGACCGGTGCGTCTCGCCCGGCAGGTCGCGTGCGGATCGAGGAAGGCGCCTCGCTGCGCATCGACCTGCTGCGGGCCGAGGACCAGGGCTGGTACGAGTGCCGCGTGCTCTTCCTGGACCGGCACAGCACCGACGACGACTTCCAGAACGGCACCTGGATCCACCTCACCGTCAACGGTACGAGCGGCGCGCGCGAGGTGGAGAGGTAACGGGCACCGGGCAGAGCCCAGGCTGCTCCTGAAGCCTCCGAGCTCCAGGCTGGGCTCTTCATAGAATCATAGAATCATGGAATGCTTAGGGTTGGAAGGGACCTCTGGAGATCATCTAGTCCAATCGCCCTGCACACGCAGGGTCACCTAGAGCACGTGGCACAGGGCTGCGGCCAAGCGGGTTTGAAGATCTCCAGAGAAGGAGACTCCACAACCTCTCTGGGCAGCCTGTTCCAGGGCTCTGGCACCCTCACTGGGAAGGAATTTTTCCTGAAGTTCCTGTGGAACTTTTGGTGCTTCAGTTTGGGGCCGTTTCCTCTAGTCCTATCAGTGGCCACCACTGAAAAGAGCCTCTTGGTTGTGCCCGAGTGAGCCCAGGCTGCTGCCCACCTCACCTGTCTGTGCCCGCGCTGCCCCTTGCTGCAAATTGCTCTCGTATCTGCTCTTTTTGTGGCTCTCCATCCCAGTCCCAGCTCCGGGATGGATTTCTAGGCAGCTTAAGTGCTCTGGGAAGCAGCTTGCAGTGAAGGCCAGTGCCAGGCAGAGCATCTCGGCTGTCAGGGCAATGGCCACAGGGCTATTCCGGGTCCTTCCTTAGGCTCTCTGCTTGGCCCATGGGTAGCCAGGATGGACCTCACGGAGCAGATTCTGCTGCTCTGACACCCTGCACAAGGGAGACCTTGTTTGGCCCTCTCCTGTCACTTTGCTGCCCTGTTTTGAGGATGACGGTGAGGACAGTGGAGTTTGTCCTGTCCCAAGTGCAGCTACTGCAGTAGCAGAGCTGGGATGAGTGTTGGCCACGGATTTGCTTCCCAGAGCATCCTGCTCCAGATTCAGCCCTTCAGAGACCACCGCTCAGCACGGACCATGTGGGGCCGGTTCCGCTCGTGTTCCAAGACCAGTCGGGCCCTGGCAGCAGCCCGGGCTGAGACGTGGGGTTTGTGTCTTTGCAGCACCCCCCACGTTCCTGCAGACCCCCCCTGCGTTCGTGGAGGTGCGGGACCGCGCCGCGCTGAGCCTCACCTGCACGGCCGCCGGCAACCCCCAGCCCGTCGTCACCTGGAAGAGGAGCGACCTGGCCGTCCAGACCGGGGACACGGTGCAGGTGACAGAGGCAGATCTGGTGCCAAGGGTCGTGGGCTTGCCCGTCATGCGTCGGGCACCTTGGCACGGGTCTTGTGGGGCACCCTGGAGTGCAATGAGCTTGTTCTGGAGAGCTGGTGCCTGACCTCGCCAGGGTGGCACCAAGCTCCTGCCGCTGGCCTTGCCCACCGTGACATGCCCTGTCCCTTGGTGGCCATGCCCTGCCTCCCGGGGGTCCCCAGAGAGGGTCCGCCCAGCCAGGAAGACCCTGTTCCCCAGGGAAGAGCCTTGGAACCTGATGGGGTGAAGGGTTTGGGCAGCAGAATGCGGTGCCACGGGGCAGGTGACACTGGTGTCACCGCGGTGGCGCTGAGGCGGCTGTGCTGGTTGCAGGTGAGGAACGGGACGCTGAGCATCGCCGCGGGGGAGCGGGCCAGCGCGGGCACCTACACCTGCCATGCGTCCAGCCAGGAGGGCACCGTCACCCACACCACCCGCGTGCTCGTGCAGGGTAAGAGCGGGAGCTGTCTGCGCCCTCGCCATTGGGGTCACCCTGCTGGGTGCCACCCGGTGTCCCTGGGTGCGGAGGGAGCGGCGGCACCGGGGTCGCGTTTGGGAGGAGCACGGGGATGACCGGCTTTTGGAGCCCTTGTCCCCAGCGCTCTCTGTGCCACGCTGCAGGGCCACCCGTCATCGTGGTGCCACCTCAGAATGTCACCGTCAACATCTCCCAAGACGCCTTCCTGGCGTGCCAGGCCGAGGCCTATCCCGGCAACCTCACCTACACCTGGTTGCAGGGCAACAGCAACGTCTTCCATCTCAGGTACAGCGGGGACCCAGCGCGTTCCGGCGAGCGGGGTGGCAGGAGGGGACAACACTGGGTGATCCTGGGCTCCTGCTGGCTCTGCCAGGAGATGCTGTGGCCCCGGGAGACGTGGATCACGGCACACATGGAGGAAGGAGCTTCTCCCACCCCAGCATGGGGATAGTCCCGGCTGCGCCGCTCACTCTCCTCCCCTGTCCTTCCTTTGCAGCCACCTCCAGGCTCGTGTCCGCGTCCTGGTGGACGGGAGCCTCTTGCTGCAGAGAACGACGCCGGATGACGCTGGAAAATACACCTGCATCCCCAGCAACGGGCTGTGGAAGCCACCTTCTGCCTCGGCCTTCGTCACAGTGCTGTGTAAGAGGCCGTGGGGACCGTGCCACCCCTCGGGAGCCCGGGGCGCGTTGACCGGCTCCTCCAGGCTCAGCAGAGCGGGGACCCCTCCAGGTGCCCGTGGACCAGACCAGCGGCTCTGGCAGGCCCTGGGGAGGACGGGGCGCTTCTCCAGCGGCCGTGGGGACCGGAAACCTGCTGCGATCCTCACCCGGGTCCCGTTTGTCCTCGCAGATCCCGCGGAGGTGACCACCATGCTCCCAGAGACCCCCCTGCCCAAGGGGATGCAGGGGGTGATCCGGCCGGGGCCAACCCGCCTCTGCTCTCCGTGAGCTGGACTAGAGACGGGCGCCCGCTGGAGCTGGACAAGGTACCGCGGCCGTCGCGTTCCTGCTGTCATCCCACCTCCCCCAGACCCTCGCCCTGACCCCAGCGTCTCCCTCTCCTAGTTCCCTGGCTGGTCCATGAGGTCCGACGGCTCCATCGTCATCGCGACGGGCAACGACGACGCGCTGGGGGTGTACGCGTGTACCCCGTACAACAGCTACGGCACAGCCGGCGAGTCGCGGCCCACGCGGGTGCTGCTCAAGGTGAGGCAGGGCAGGCGGGTGGTGCTGCCCGTTGTCATAGAATCATAGAATGCTTAGGGTTGGAAGGGACCTCCAGAGATCATCTAGTCCAACCCCCCTGCACACGCAGGGTCACCTAGAGCACGTGGCACAGGGCTGCGGCCAAGCGGGTTTGAAGATCTCCAGAGAAGGAGACTCCACAACCTCTCTGGGCAGCCTGTTCCAGGGCTCTGGCACCCTCACTGGGAAGGGATTTTTCCTGAAGTTCCTGGGGAACTTTTGGTGCTTCCGTTTGGGGCCGTTTCCTCTAGTTGTGTCGGTGGCCACCAGTGCAAAGAGGCCGCCCCATCCTCCTCACGGCCTCCCTTGAGGTACTTCTAGACACTGCTCAGGTCCCCTCTCAGCCTTCTCTTCTCCAG